GGCAAGAGTAGAGCCGTGTGGTATACCCTGAAATAATTCCCAAGTGTCAGTCTTAGATCAGGTTTCGTAAATATGACTTATACATGTATACTTGAAAATTAATAAAAGATTATTAAGCAACTACGCCGGGCACCGTGTTATAGTTTTACTTAGGCATAATCATTCCAAGAAATTATAAAGAGTCTTGATCCTTTTTTGTGCATTATTTTTTATTGAATCTTCATTGAAATTCATTTGATTACAAATCATTTTGTCAATAAATAGGCTTTCTGCAGTTAGTAGTCACGTGACTGTAAGTTATATGGGGAGAAAAGCTACCAAAGTCCTTATATTTCATTACCATCAATTTTCTCTCTAAGTCCTTTTGTCAAACTTGCAATTCATTAAATTTATTTTTTTCATCACGTGACTGTAGACTGCAAAGGGCCTATTTGATTGGTTACAAAAATTACATCCTCCTGGTTTAACGTACAATCATTTGTGCTATTTGAATAATAGAGTGGATTTAAACGTTGAATCGTGCTTTTTTTTGAAAGAGCCACATAGTTAGTGGTTATCCTGTGTCATTTGATATAGGACCAAAGATAGAGCTCGTGGTACTCCGTAAAAAATCACCAGTACTAAGTTTATTAGGAAGGAATTCCCACTCCAGTAGGGTTGATTCTGTTTTTTTGTGTGTAGACTAATAAAGATAATCTAATAAAGATATATGTGGCAGGAAACGATCTGTTAAATTGCTGTCTTTCTAATTCATTTGACCTGTTAGTTCTTATTTTACGTGTAGGTTAGCCATTGCGATTGTGGTCTATGGTGTGATACTTTATGCGGTGTTTTCACKGCTTATCGCCTTTCCCTGTAAATTATTTATCAAACATATGCCATGTCAGTAAAATATTTATAAATTATGATAATTTCACATTGAAACTTATGATGAGTGAAGCAATATTGCGCGTGCGATGAAATATATAGGTCTATATCAATAGACGTCAATTCCGGTCTCGTGTGGAATTTGTACCAGCTGAATGGCAAGTTTTCTATGTGCGCATTGTTTACCTTTACTGAAGGTTTTTACTGTCGTTCTACTCTAACCATAAACACTGGAGTTTATTCTATTATGTTTTGTGTAAATATACTCATATTTTAGTTACGTTCTCTTTCATCATTTCATCTCCTTCTCCTTCAATAGCTGTTATGAATGTCGCGTTCTRATTGGTTTGGAGCGCGTGCTTTGTRAGAGCACATTGCACSCRCGCGCACTTTCCRTTGCGTCATTCCTATCTATTATTGTAATTCGTATTTTTAAAAAAAAATAAAAAACTTGGGGATTGGCAGAACACTCGAGAACTGTCCAGAAGCACTCCGCTACGCGTCGTGCTTCTCCTAACACTTCTCTCGTGTTGTGCCAACCCCCGCGTGCTTTATGACAGCACGCGCACGCGTTTTCTATTTCTTCAATAAAGACTGGTACATGATGCAAAATGTATATGCTGTGACACTGAATTGGCTTCCCATTGTTTTCTTGTAAGTTATCGACCAATCAATACGCATACTTATAGCTACGGTACGGTATGGTTCGATACGGCTATTTTTTGATTCGTTTGCCAATTTAACGCCCAAAAAATAAAATATCTCTAACCCTTTACTTACGTTTAAGCTTCAGTAGGCAGCAAACCAACACGATAAGAACGATGATGATGACAAGCAGAATGAACAACGCCACACCAAAAATGATCAACAACGCTGTAGCAACGGCTGTAGAGGTAAATTGTTATATATTAATTAGCATCAAGATATCATTAATTTATAAATATACTTGATTGCAAAAAATAGGAAACGCGCTTGCGTGCTGTGTGCAGTYATAATATAAGGCACGCAGGAGTTAGCACAAGATACTTTTTATCTTGGATAGAATGACCGAGTTGAGAATGCGCGTGCCTGCTATGTGCTCTCGTAAAGCACCAACCTTTATCAACAAACCTTATTTATTTTTCTGCTGTGTTCCTTTTTTTCTCCTGCTAGATGTGCACTGGAAAAATCATGTACGCGCTCGAAATTGTGCAAATATGTATCTATTTTCAACATATTTTCATAGCATGGAAATATTATAAAAGTCAGCAGARGTAATGAAAACGCACTTACTTCTCGTGGTTTCATTTCCATGGTATGGAAATATCATGGAACATTTTTTTCCATACCATAGAATTCAAGAAATGATTTAAAACTGATGGAAGGCACTCCAAAAGTATGGTGATACTTTAAAATCCCTACAAATTGCAACTTCCAACGTATGTCCATGCATTGGAAATATATTGGAAGTTCACATTAGGAGTCAGGGTAAGAATTTAWAGGCGTCGTTGCGGTTTTAATTCTGTAAAAATAATCGATCAAAGCCTAGACTAAAAAAGCAAACTTTCATTTCGTCTTTCCGGTCCGAATCACTTTTTTACGAGGAAAAATATGGAACTAGCTAAAGAACAGAAATACCTTCACATAAAGTRAAGTCATTAAACCCGTGAAATAGATATCAGACTAACACTTTAGTAGATCAAAATGCCATTGTTTTCTAATAATAATAATAATGTTCGTGTTAATCTTAAAGATCTTTTTACTTACTTGTAGTCGTTTTGTCGGAAGCTGTCGAGACGTCACTTGCCTTAACTGGATTTAAAAAAAAAGTATATTTAGGTGCTAGTTATACTATGGTTTCGATAATAATCATGATAATTATAATGATGATGATGATGATGATGATGATGATGATGATGCTGATTAACTGTACCCCGTACCATGAGTTGGATCAGCCGAGAAGTTGTTTCAGGGTTCGATCTGTGAGCTAGCCTTGCCCTGACTTAGATCAGGCCAGAGGTTGTTTCAGGGTTCGATCTGTGAGCTAGCCTTGCCCTGACTTAGATCAGCCTAGAGGTTGTTTCAGGGTTCGATCTGTGAGTTAGTCGTGTTCTGACTTACATCAGCCCATTGGTTGTAGAGGATTCAATACTATTGGAAATGAAGGTTGGATGCGGCATACCTTTTCGTACGATATAGGTATCGGGTTTGAAAGTTGGGTCTGTCTCATAGTTTCCAATCTTTCCACTCTTGATTACTTCAGTAACAGCATTAGCAATTTTCGCCGCTTCGGCTTCCGATGTGGTGTTAAGCACGAGGTAGTATTCCACGATAACGCTTCCATTACTTGATAAAAATATACAAATGATATTACCAACTTAAAATT